GTATTGGCGTCTGTGCAGGTATAGTGGCTGCATTGAGCTTATTATAAGCATGAACGATACGCCATTTACCATTTGGTTTCTTACCACAGAAAGTGGGTGTCGAGTGCGGAGATTTACTCTCACGCACCATGCCCGCCGCGTGCTTTGCACGAAAGAACTCGTCAATGACGTCACACTGTTCTTTGGGTAAAGGCCACTGCCGTGTTACACAGTATTTGGTTCCGGGAACCAAGTCAATTTCATGACGCACACCCCTATCAGGTGGTAGAACCGACGGTGGATCGTGACACACCACGTCCTGGAATTCCTTTACCAAAGGATAGTAGGGATATGAAGGGTTCTTCAGAATAGATGCCCCACTACGTGCACTTAGTGCCGCTTTGGTATCTTCAAGGACTGTCTCATCGACAAGCGAGGATGAGTTCAGCTCGAGGTTAGGTCGAATGACCACCATATCGGATAGAGCACCTGCCTTCAAGGCCTGATGAAATTCATCCACAGACATTTCGTCTAGCTCTAAAAGAGCATTTAATGATGGGAGGGCCTCAAGGTCAACCTCTCCATCTACATCACCTGTCACTCCGTTGACCAGGGTGTACAACTGGTCACTGACATTACTATGCGATAAAAACAGACGCTTTGCGTCTCGCAGCCGCCATCTGGCGACGCTGCCGTCTCCTTGACGAGACCGTACTCTTCAAAGTACTTGGGATATTATCATCCCCAAGGTCAACAGACCCCTTGTCATTTACCTACCCTATGCGATAGACGATGTGATTACCGACATCTAGTGAGTCACTAGTATCAGTGACTTCACTAACAAGGTCATCGACCTTCACTTGGTCTATACGAGAGCCGATGTCATTATCGACATTCAGTGAATCGCATTTACAGCCAATATCACTAACAAGGTCATCGACCTTCACTTCCTCTATATATGAGCCGATGTCAATACCGACATCCAGTGTCTCAATATTACTTTGAGTATCACTCAACGGAGTACGTGCCGTTCCACTAGGTGTCATTGAGCTCTGCTCGACACTATTATTGTTGGTATTGGAGTTTATCAACTCAGACACTCCGATGTCCAGCACACTAAATGAATCAGTTAATGGCTCGCGCCAATAGCACTTTTGTTTCCTAGCGAAGGTGGGTTCATGACTCTCCAAAGCTTCGCTAGGAACATTGCGCGTTCCGCCTAAAGTTTTGGATCTCCAATCGATCCACGGCTCATGGCGTTCCAGCCAGTCCATACCGAGAATGAGATCATATCTCGAGTCCAAATCTAGGACAAGACAGCGTTCAACGCTATTGAAGTCGAAGAACTTCACACCTAATTTCAACGGAACTTTAGGAACGGTGACACGTACACCGGTCGCGAGACGCACGGTTATACTGTCACCCTCTTGCGCTTCTAGCGCCTCAGCATACAGCTGACTCCCTCCAAGGGAACGACATCGGACATAATTCCCTGACGCCCCTGAGTCAATTAAAATTGACCATGGTTTCTCAAAACCCTCAACGGTTGCCGACGCAACCAACAAGCCTGGCTTGTAATCTTGTTCTATGGGAGCATCCACAGAACCACCTGGGGCTAATCTCTGTTTACCTTTACCTCCTAAAGATCCAACAGAGCTTAGTTCTTTCCTAGTAGGGCGTCCCGCGCCTACTGGGAGTTGACGTTTTCCCCTGTGGTGCTCGCCTTTTGGCTGGGAGCAGGGTTTCGGCTTTGCCGATTTGAACGTTGCTTTCGCAACGGACAGCTAGGGCGGAGATGCCTAGTGCTTCCGCACATATAACCTATACGGATGTTACCTTGCTGCTCAGCAGCTTGAAACTCAGCTTCTTCAGCTTGACTGAGATCCATGGGTTTTGCCCAATTAGAGGTATTTGATTGATACCAGGGCAGACCATATCGAGCAGATTTAAAGTTAAATTCAGCGTTAAATGCTATGCTTACTGCCTCCTCGAAAGTCGAAGGCTGGACACGGAAAACTTTCGTCCTGGCGACCCCAGTGCGAAGTCCTTTCATAAAACTGGTTACTCGGACTTCCTCTGCCAGTGGGTCCTGCTGCATAGCAGCAATGAGAGTTCTCAACTCTTGGACATAGTCCGACAATTCTTTCTTACCCTGTCGGGTAGCTAGGAAGCGTGAGCGCACACGATAAGCCTGATTAGGCGGTGCAAACACGCAAGTTAATTGCTTTTTAAGCATTTCCCATGTGGGAAATGCAGCATTTACAGAGACATCGCTCGTTAGAGCCCACTCTATAGCTCTTCCACCAAGCTTCAAAATGGCCAAGCCAACTCGTTGCTTATCTGATACAAGCATGGCGGCATCCATTGCCATTTCAACTTCTCGGATCCAGAGGAGAAGATTTTCTCCCTCCTTCCCCTCGAAGGTCTTAACATTTAAAACAAGTGGGCGAGCCTTTGGCTCTGCATCGGGCACAGGTACCGGAATGTACTGTGTAGGCGCAGCTGACGCTGCCTGGTCATGGACCTGCCCGAGGAGCGTTGCCTCATAACGCATAAAGGCCTCAAGACGAGTATTTAGAACCTCGGGGCTTTGGGCCTCGATTTGATCGGGCCCGACGAACGCAGATAGTTTATCTAAGGCGAGTCGTTGTGCCTCAGAGAGGTGATTTTGATTCTCCATTCTCACAGAGGGTCAGTCTTTAAAGACTCAGGAGTAGGATTGACTACGAGTGCTACCAAGTGTAGCGGAGCTGCACAGCTCTTAGCCAGAGGAAGACTTTAGGCTGGAAGCCTCTTAGTTCTAGAGAACTAAATAGAGTTAAGGCTAAAAGCCACTTAGTTCTAAGGAACTAATTAAACGACTTTAAAGTCACCCTCTTCTAAGGAAGTAGGAGAGACTTTAGTCAGCAAGCAATAAGCTTAAGGTTCAGAGAACCAACGCACAGAGTGCAAGAGAAGCTAGAAGCTTAGGGGTTCGGAGAACCAACGCACGAAGTGCACAAGAGAGCAAGTCAGAACGACTTGCGATTTTAAACTCAAAAGGAGAGCTGATTTTATTTATGCTTTAAGATTTATGAATAGTCCTACTCTAAGTACACTACACTAGATTAATTACTATAATAGTAATTATAATATGCAGACTTTGCTATTGGACGACGTATCGTCTAAACATCTGTGTATGATGTACTTAATAAAGCGTTAGTGATTTATCGAATCCTAATCGATAAGATACGGTATTACCGAATACCGTATCTTTAACGCTTATACTTAATACCTCTATAAAGAGAAGTATCATAATGCATTATATGCAATACAAGGGGACTTCAACCGTAAACTCTCGGAAAGACGCTACAACCGTCGTGTAACCCCGTTACAGTTCCCTTGGCTGTGTCGTACTATTGCTAGTATCCTCGCTACGAGAAGAAATAATAGTGGTCTCAACGGGCAACCTGTCGGATGCCCGCGACTATGGGGATCGGGCCGGATAGTATTATAATCACTACAAACCGGCGGTGTAGAGATTCTGCATCATTGTAATTAATGAATTCGCAAACCCAAAATTATGCATAATTTTAAAAAAAGCATAAGACCGTCTCATACGCCTTGCACATGTCCAACACAAAATTGCTCGGCTATTAGCAGGCTCCCGACTCGGTTGGTATGTTGCTTTTACAAAAGTGCCATCATCATTATGACTCTTTAAACATTGTTTGTCATGTACGTACCCCTTGTTGTGTGTCTTGAATAAGAACCCCTAAGACTTTTTGTACTCTACGAGACAACACCTTGGCGACGATGTCTGGAGCTACGCGATCGGCCATTAATCCACATTTCGTCTGTTAAATCGCTCTTCTTTCGGAGCAAGATGGTATGTCCTTCCGGGATGGAGGCAAATGTGGCGTTGGTCCTGCACTTATTGTAACGAGTGCTGGTGCTAGTAGCGCTTGATAGTCCTCGTTGTTGAGCCCGTCCGGCCCAGCCTCTTTATGTCGGGTAGGCGACGTGATGGCCCGAAGAACCTTTCCGATGAGAAAGATTCGATGAGCAGCTCATTTTTGCCCTGGGATAAGATATCAGTTTGAAAGCTGTGGTCGATATGGTGGTGTGTATCTGACAGAGAATCAAAATAAGTTGAGTTATTCCCAGCTTGAAGCCCGCTTCAGTTGTCATCGCAGTATCCATAGTCTGTTCCAGACAGAGACCTTGTCGAATTATTGAGTGTACTAAGCTCTTCTTCAATTGTTTATCTACAATCTTTCGAGTAAGCAGGAGCGCGGATTTGACCTGCCCTTTGTGTTGCTTATTTTTTGCAGCCCACCGAATACTAGAGCCGCAGTCGAGGACCGCTGTCTCCTACCCTCGCGTTGACGTCTCGTTCGACCTCCCGACGTATTAACTTCGCTAAGAGCTTGTCGTGGATTGGTGCTGGCGTCTGCGTCTGAGTTTTGTTCCTATGGTGCCTCCACTAACTGCAACATGCATGCTTGACAGCCGCAGTCCAAATGTTTTACAGCCAGACGATGTCTACAAATCGCAGTACAATAGAGCTTCTCGTCGATACGATATCATAGGGTATTTTCCTGCACACCCTATCGTTTATCTGACAGAAGTGAATCTAAAATGTCAAAGGAATGGAAAATTGACAAGCTTGGCAGCAAGTTACACACGAATTGGCTTCTGCTTTGAAATAAAAGAGTCTTCTTTTTCTTTCTCGATTTTTTTTTCTTATCGCACTCCTCTTACGCACTATTTTTAATTAGTTTACTAATGACCGTCTCGGCTCTACTTGCTGTGGCAAACTCTTTCACTCAAAAGCTTTTCTTTGTTTCCGTCCGATTGCGCGACATGAATCGACGTGATCAATTTCTACCATCCGTTAGTGCCATTCCGTAGTGCCATTCCACAGTGCCATTGCTCAATTTCCGGTATTGAAGACAAGCATGCGATCATGCTGCTTTCTTCTGTTTGTTGTGGTGCTCGTGGTTTTTGTTGTCTCTGTAGTGTTTGACACTTCCTTGGCAATGCCTCGCGAGATCAAATCTGTCGACGAACCGTTGAAAGGAGTCTCATCTACTGTTACACCAGTCGATTACATCACCAACAGGTTACTGCGAGTAGACCTCGAAGCCGCTGGACTACTAGTAATGCCTGCTATAGATGGTGTAGCGGGTACGAAGCGATGGATGCCATCAATCATCCAAGACATTTGGGTTCGTTTGAAGATGAAAGTTTTGGGTATTTTTCATGTCAAACCGGAGAATTTCAAGAAGATTATGCAAATTGACGAAAAGAAGTACAAGCAGTATTACGATAGGTACTTCTATCAGTACTACATCAAGCATCTCAACGCAAAATTACCCGAGAAGTATGTGGACGAAATCTGGAATGCAAGGTTAAAATACTGGCTCACAAAAGGATTGTCCGTACCGCAAGTTGCCGACAAATTGAAGGGCTCTAAGGGTGTTATGGCAGCTGGCAATACGCCGAGCTTTGATATAATTGGGCGATATAACAAGATGTGGGGTGAAGAACAGGTAAAATTGAGCAGTAAGCAATCAGGGGGAGGGTAGATAGGTACATGAAGAATGTGCCGCTAATATAGACTACATCAAGGTGTTTTGCTGGCTACTACACGAATTTTCTTGCAAATAATGATCATTTCGGTGCACGCTCTGTACTTAAATGATGCGGGACTGAGGTGCCTACAACGTGCTTTTAAGTCGTTTGTGTCTTCGTGTGTGCCATGTACGGATAGCTTGCTATGCGTGCGTGTTTATGTGTGGATTGAGGCGGCCGTTCGGGATGAGCACTCATTGGTGTATCAAGTTACTTACTTACGGTATGGCAGGCACTTCCTCAGCTTCACACTTGGCTGCATCGACTGAGACCGCTGCAACGTTTGACGAAAGCGATGTTGCATGTTACCAAAGCTCCTATATCGGCGGTGTGACTACCATGATGGAGCCAAACAACGGACTCAAGTGGACGCACGGGGGTGTAAAGAATACCAAGTCCTTCATTGCTGTGAATGTAATCGCTCAGTCAGTTCCAGGAGATCTTCGGTTTTGGAGGAGTCTTTACGGAGACAGTGTCGTTGCAGTTGTAGAGACTCACACGTTATAAACAAGAGGAAGGAACTTAATTTCTACATTGACAAGGGTTGCACGGCAGTTCTTACAGATTCGGTGGTGTTGTGCGCTTTCTCACTGGCGTCGTACAACTTCGTCTAGTAGGTGAACGACATCGATACACTAAAATTCATGTGAAACTGCAAAGCAAAAACGTGCAAAGTGTCAGCTCTACCCCCTCTTTGAAGTACATCGTCTTCAATAGAATTAATGTCGTGTACGAACGTACGTATGATAATGGAGGGCGGCGCAGGATGTAGTTGCGCTTAATCATTCTTGCATAGACGTAAACCATGCTTCTACGGGTCTCCGGATACACCGCACAAAATTTCACTACTTACACGCCTGAATTTCATCAAGCGTCTGCGACATAACTTTTGGCTATCGTCGGAACTAGTAAATGACCTGATACCGGCCCTCAGGGCTTATCAAAAACAATCGATCTGCTTGGGCTAATGCTGCCTGGATCGTTAAGGTCACACTATCAACACGGCAAACCTGCAGTAAGGCGCGAGTCTTTAAGCTCTTATCGGTTTGATCCATCTAAAGAAAAGATTGCATTCGCCTTTACAACAGAGGCTGACGATGCTTCAGATTTAGTGCACGAAGCGTGCCGGACAAACCACAAAAGCACTTGAGATGCCGCTTTGCGAATAAGTTGCATTTCAGCCGGAGATCCCGATGCTGACCATCTCAGGCTGTAAAAATATAAGTCGAAATGACCATGAAGCATTACACGCCAAATGTTAGCTTGCAAAGAGAAAACTCGTAAACAAGTAACGCGTCGGTACCATGCAGGCCAAGGATGTCATCACTCACTGATTGCTCTTAGAGTAGGTAACACACTTATAACAAACTGCAACTTTTACGAGCGTATAAATTGAATGAAATGAAAATGAGGATTGCAAGGTGACTCACGGTTGTATTCACACCATTTGCTCGAAGCTTAGGCGTGTGTTTGGTGACCCTAAAGGTGGAAATACTGAATCAACCAAGCCTCAATTCTTCCGTCTCAAAAGTTGCTCGAAAACAGCTACAAGCACGCACGATTTTGCTTGGAGTCAGTTTCTAACGAGTTGCTGGCTTCAGTCGGCTTCGGTTCGATCTACTCTAGTCCTGTTTCAGGGTATCGGTGTAGCATCGTCATGAGATCGAGCAGTGAAACAGAGGCATCCTACACGTACTCTACTCATTAGTAAATCATGATGCAACAAACAACAACAAATGCTCTAAACGCACTCGCTGAGGTCGCAGAGGTCAAAAATGAATCTGAGCTTTTCCTTTCGCGAGCCTCTGTGGAGAATAACAAGACCACAGACGAAATTATCTTAACCGACCGAGCCAGAGCCTTGTCGTTCATCTCAAACAAACACTTATGAAGGAAGTCCTCGCATTAAGACCACTAGAGGAAGGTGTAGATTTGTCGACACTGAAGCCGTTTTGGCATACACCATACCCTTAAAGGTCTCAGCGTAGTAGCCGCATCTACTTTTCTTTTCATCGCTTTGTGGCTTTGCGCTCGTCCGATGACGAACGCCATGCCGTGAACTCTCATGGAGTTGAGAGATCCTTATTGTTGTGAAGCTGGTGCAATTACCTTTGTAAGTTGTACTAAGAGCAAAAATGCACAACAATGAGGCCTAAGGCAAACACTAGCCTGCACAGATAAGATAGATGCGCGCTACGGTAAAACAATACAAACTACGAAACGTGGTTGCCGCCTGTGCAGCGCTTCAACTTCAGATTTGGAGTATAGATGTTAATGCAGCAACAGAAAACGCAGCAGTGACAACAAAAGCAAAATAATGGCAAGAACGACAGGTAAACAATCTGACATTTGTACTTAGCGCCTCACTTTACTACTCTACTACGTACATTGTGATAAAAACAATTCAGCTGGGACGAAGTCATAAACTATCTTACGTGACTTTGTCGCGTCATGTCACTCGTAGAGTTCCGCTCCAGTTGGGATTTTTTTATGGAGCGCAAGGACAGAAAGCGGAAGGCACTGGAGCCGTTATTTGTATCGGAAAAGATCACAGAACTTACTTCCGAGCTGAAGAATAGCGATGCGATGCTGCGGGAAGAAATTCAAGAATTGCGTGATGAGATCGTTAGCCTTAAGAAACACCTAGCGATCAAAAGTGAAGAATCCGCTCGCTTTGAAGCGGAAGCAGAGTTTTTACATCCTGATGCAGTGGTGGATCGCGTCCGAACAAAGTTGTGGCACCACGGGGACCTAAGTCTACTTCGTAGAGCCATTGATCCAAGAATGCGAGTGCTTCGCAACACGGAAAGCCGAAGCGATCGGGCTCTTTACATTTGTGATACCGCCCCAAAGAAAGCTGGAACAAGCAAGGCACACTTGACTGATAGCAAACCCAATGCACACTTGACTGATAGCACGCCCAATGATTTCTCCCCGAAACAGGAATGCGAGAACGCGTCAGCGACTGAGACGATGGACCCAGTCAAACAATCGAGCAACGTTTCGGAAGAGACGAAAACAGACGACTTGAGCTTTGTAAGTGTTCCATCAGTGCCAGTACCAGCGGATGGTTCGCCGACCGAGACATGGCCACAACAGGACGATGCACAGGCCAAATTATCGCCACAAGAGGATATCACAAGTGTGTTGCCCGAAGTGACTGCTGCGGACAGGATTTGACAAGTAGTGTAATTCTTTGTTATGAAGCGCAATCTCACGCAGCTTTGCATTTTTAGTAACCGTCAACGTTTTTCATAGGGACAGATTGATAGCAACTCGAATTCATTACACGGCAAGTTATTAGAGTTTATGTTATCCGATACATAGTTAGTATCTACATTTTCTACGATTGAAGTTGTCCGACATGAAGATGCGACATTCCAACTACAGCCTAACAATTATGTATATAAGTAATCACTAGACTGTAGTAAAGAAACCTTTCATACTTGTTTGTATCTCTTTAGAGTGACAGCTAAAGTTATTGGATCGAAGCATGACAATCGAATTTAAGGTATTCTACACCACTTTCAATCCTTACTCTCCCTAACTTGCTACCATACAGTCCATTGCTTCATGCATCTTCTTAACCTGACGCTACAGCCGCCTACAGGCGTGCATTTGTCTGTTTATGGCAATTTTTCTTCCCCTCAAGCACAGGAATTTATAGTCGCTCGTAATGATGTGCTTCAATTGCTACGTCCAGATGAAGCAGGACGTTTAGAAGTAATTATTTCGACTCAAGTTTTTGGAGTTGTACGTGCTTTGCAGCCTTTTCGTCTTACTGGAGGAGAACGAGATTACGTCGTTGTAGGCTCTGACTCTGGAAAAATTGTTGTCCTTGAAGTGAACTCGACATTGAATCAATTTGAAGCCAAACAGACAGAAACTTATGGCAAAACAGGGTGTAGACGTATCACACCAGGACAATACTTGGCAGCTGATCCTAAAGGACGTGCAATCTTTGTGGGTGCAGTAGAAAAGCAAAAACTTGTCTACGTCATGAATCGTGACGCTTCTAGTCGTCTTACGATCTCGTCGCCATTGGAAGCTCATCGTTCCAATGCCATTCATTTTGATGTTGTTGGGCTCGATGTGGGCTTTGAAAATCCTATATTTGCCTGTTTAGAGCTTAATTATGCTGATGCAGATGCTGATCCTAGTGGTCAAGCTGCACTTGAAACAGTAAAGACTTTGGTGTATTATGAACTGGATCTTGGATTGAATCATGTGACGAGAAGATGGAGTGAAGAGGTCGTGAGAAGTGCTAATATGGTCGTAGCAGTACCAGGAGGAGGAGATGGACCGGGAGGAGTGTTGGTGCTAGGAGAGAACATGATACAGTACAAGAATGAAGGCCACCCAGAGCTCACATGTGCCATTCCACGACGTGAAGATGAAGCAAGGAATGTGATTATTGTATCTGCTGCCACACATAAACAGAGAGATCTGTTCTTTGTGTTATTGCAGTCGGAGCTTGGAGATCTGTACAAGATCTCGCTCAATTACTCAGGAAACGTGGTGGAAGAGGTCAGAATTCAGTTCTTTGATACGGTCCCTGTGGCGATGGCCATGTGTATTACTAAAACTGGACTACTCTTCTGCGCGTCCGAGTTCTCAAACCACTATTTATTCCAATTTCTGAGTATTGGAGAAGGTGATGATACTGCAAAATGCTCGAGTTTAGCGATGGACCCGACAGAGGTCTCGACGTTCACGTTGAGGAAATTGAAAAACTTGGCACTGGCCAGCTTCATGCCAAGTTTAAGTCCAGTGACTCAATTGCTTGTGGATGACTTGGCGAATGAACAGACGCCGCAAATGTACGCATTGTGTGGTAATGGCAACCGCTCGTCGCTACGTGTGCTGCGCCATGGTCTTCCAATCACGGAGATGGCCGCTAGTGCTTTGCCGGGTGTGGCCAAGGCAGTCTGGTGCTTGAAGGAATCGTACGGAGACCCGTACGACAAGTATATTGTCGTGAGTTTTGAAGATGCAACGTTAGTACTCGAGGTAGGCGAGACAGTTGAGGAGGTGTCCCAGTCTGGGTTCATTCGTGATCACGGATCCTTGTTGGTGGCGCTGCTGGAGGACGACTCGAAGCTTCAGATTCACACGAACGGAATTCGACATGTGCCAAAGTTTCAGCCTGTTACGGAGTGGAAGGCACCTGGAAAGAAGGTGATTGAGCACTGTGCTGCTAACTCTCGTCAGGTTGTGATCTCGCTAGCCGGCGGCGAAATTATTTACTTTGAGTTGGGTCAGTCAGGTGAACTTGCCGAAAAAGGTAAATTGGACCTGGGTTTTGAAGTATGCAGCTTAGATCTGGGCGAGGTTCCTGAGGGTCGCCAGCGTTTTCAGTTTATGGCAGTGGGTAGCTGGGACAATACTGTCCGCATCTTCTCTCTAGACCCCAATGACCTGTTCCGGCAAAAATCGACTTTGGCGTTGACGTCACACCCACATACACTTTGCCTCGCACAATTACAGAACGAATCATCGACATTAGACTCGGAGCACTCATCTCAAGCGCTTTTCTTGAGTATCGGCTTGGACAATGGTGTGCTACAGCAATCATTAATTGACCCAATCACTGCTACATTGACGGATTCTCGCTCACGCTTCCTCGGCACAAACCCCGTGAAACTCTTCCGAGTGGCAGCCGAAGGAAAGCGTTCGATCCTTGCGCTTTCGAGTCGGGCATGGATCTCCTACTTCCTTCAGACGCGGAGACACCTCACTCCGCTGTCGTGCGAATTGCTTTCTTACGCAAGCTCCTTTAACTCTGAGCAGTGTCCCGGTGGTATCGTCGCGCTGACAAATGACGGAATGAAAATTTTGACAGTGGATCAACTCGGGGACACATTCAATCAGCAAAAGTGCAACTTACGCTACACACCTCGCAAGGCAGTGATACACTCCCCTTCTCGACGACTAATAGTCATTGAAAGCGACCACAACGAATATGGTGCTACTTACAAAAGGCAACGTGGTCTGCAGATTCATGACATTCGAAGTGCCACCGAACAGGAAGATGAAGATGAGGACGAAATCAGCGATGCGTTGTTGTTTCCTCGTAGCTCCCTTCCGGCTGAGAAAGACAAGTGGGCTTCGTGTGTGCGAATTATTGACCCTGCATCATGTCAAACGGTAGTTTGTGAGGAGCTGGATGTGGATGAACGTGCCCGAAGTATTGCTGCTTGTGTATTCCATGACCGTGGTGGGGAAGCATTTATTATCGTTGGCACGGTAAAGAAAATGCAGCTGCATCCGCAAAAGGCGCCGGCAGGAGCTTATTTGCGTGTTTACCGTGTCGTCGAAGGTATGCAACTGGTGCTTGTTCATACGACTGAGATTGATGACATTCCGCACGCAATTTGCGAGTTCCAGGGACGACTTCTTGTATCAGTCGGACGGGCACTCCGAATGTATGATCTTGGAAAAAAGAAGATGCTGCGCAAATGCGAGAATCGCAACTTTCCATCCATTTTAGTGGAGCTGAAGGCTGCTGGTGATCGCATTTATGCGTCGGACATGCACGAATCTTTCCACTTCGTGAAGTATAAAAAGGATGAAAACCAACTTGTGATCTTTGCCGATGACTGTGTGCCGCGCTTCATCACTAGTAGCGTCTTGCTTGATTACGATACGCTATGCGGAGCGGACAAGTTTGGCAACATATTCATCTCTCGACTTCCGTCCGAAGTCTCCGACGAGATTGACAATCCCACGGGCAACCGTATTCTGTGGGACTCTGGCCTTCTTAATGGTGCACCTAACAAGCTTGAGCAGGTGGCTCAGTTCCACGTGGGTGACGTGGTAACCAGCCTGGTGCGCTCCAGTTTGGTTCCTGGAGGTACCGAAGCGATCATTTACGCAACGATAATGGGTCGTATCGGCGCTCTAATCCCATTTGCCTCGCGCGAGGACGTGGATTTCTACACTCATCTAGAGATGTATATGCGCCAAGAACAGCCCCCGCTTTGCGGCCGTGATCACCTGTCGTACCGGTCGTACTATGTTCCGGTGAAAAACGTCACAGATGGCGATTTGTGCGAGCAATATAGCACACTTAGCGTGGAAAAACAGGCTAGTGTGGCCGAAGACCTTGACCGCACGCCGGCCGAAGTACTGAAGAAGCTCGAGGACATTCGTAACCGTCTCTTGTAAAAGGTTGCCTATGCGTTTTAAACGTTCAACAAATAAATTGAAGAAAGCGAAGAGTAGCAGCAGTTGCAAGCCCGAAATTTACAATGGATGACGCCACTGAATCAGGCGAGTCATCAACACGGTCGAGGCGCTACGTCATTCGGAAGACACATCTTTCGGTCGCTGCCGTTGGGAAAAAGCAGCAATTTAGTTTCGTGGTAAATGTCCTGCAACACGGTCACCCGTGGCCGGAACGTCTGCCAACGAACGAATCACACATACATACAAATATCAAAGCAATCCTACCGGACATTTTGTTTACGTTTAGCTCTCACCTTGAATGGTAGCACCATGTCGCTTTCTCCTTCCACCATAAGTACCAACGAGTACACCACATTTGAAAAGGTGATCGCCTCGTTCACCGCCACGCCACAAATCGTGTCCAAGTCCACAAACTATTACCAAATATCAACACCATGAATCATAAGTAGTTATGACACATCAAACCTCTACGATGGTCAAGTCCACGCTTCCGTCACCTTGCTCGTCATTGAGCCATTGCGTCGCTTTTGACTCAGCCTCACTCCAAGCGCCGGAACCACCAGCATCGCCTCTGTCAAAATACCACCAAATGTCACTACCAGCTCCACTAGCAATACTGGCTAACTATTATTGTTTTGAGCGAGAAAACCTTCGACTATGACGCTTCCTGAAACTTGGTAGATGAATGCAGCCAATGCAGCCAGCAGCAGGCCCACTATCAGTCGAATGGAGAATGATACACTGCACTCAATTGACGATAACGCGCCTCCAGAGATGAATAGCAATACACTAATCAACCACCATATGGAAGTGACTTTAGAATTATTATATTTTGGTCCAGATAGTGCAAATTCCACGCCCTGTTGTCCATACGCCCTTACGCGCAGGACCACTTTATCTGCTTGCGCCATGGTACGATAAATTGCGATGTATCCATAAACCTTACATCAACTTGTGTGGAGAACATAAATTGTCAAGTTGAAACACAGAAGGTTCGTCCGTTACGGTAAGTTAGAGCATCAACTGGTGGGATAATCTAGGAGAATAGGGATAAAAAGAGGACTTTTTTTACAAGCCTACGTAGTGAAGCCATGTATCGCCTGCATCGAATGTGTCTCGAAAACACTGACAAATTGACGTTATATAACGTTAATAACACGCCAGTGCATGTACTACGGAAAATTAAAAGCTGGATGCACAAAGTATCTTGATGCAGCGACAAAGATTGATGGGCCGTGCAAGAACATGACGCTGGATATCTGCACTGTCAATTTATGCAAGAAAGCAGGAAGGAATGGCATGCACGACCGAGAGCAAAGAAGCGATGAATAAGGATCCCGTGCGATCTCGTTTTTTGGCTGGCTGTGCGTGGCTGAGGTCGCGTTATCGACCAGGATCCGAATTGTAGAAACGGTCTCAATTGCGACTCGAATCGAGAGACAAATTCATTTTTGACCGACCTAGCAAAGAATGTGGTGCACTCATTGAAGATCTACAAGCCACTTTGGATGCAAATGCGACTCAATCGAATGTGCTGAGACTTTGTTACTGACGATACAATGTATAAGCACTTCTACTGTGTTTACCATGATGTCTGGCATTGACGCAGGCTTAAGGCACTTAAACAAGGGATATTGTTAAAATATATTATCCGGATAATATCCATAATAAAATACAGTTATCGATATTAATTGTCACAATAGCTCCTTTGAAGGATTTTAACGAATCATTGACCGTAAGATTCACAACGTAAAGAGGGAGGAAGAAAAATAATGGACTCGATCTTTGGAATTGTAGGCAAGGATTTTGTGCTGCTAGCGGCAGACTGCAAGGTAGTGCGCAGTATATTGGTATACAAAGACGACGAAGACAAGGTGCGTTTTCTTTTACAATTCTTATGCTTTTAATTCCCTCATCAGATACTTTCTACCACTTTTTATCCTTATTTTTCTAACTTGTTCACGTTAACGTTCGACCATACAAAATCTCAGTCTATTAATCTTGATGACCATAAAGTGATGGTAACTTCTGGTCCTCAGAGTGATCGTCTCGCCTTTGGTGAATACATCCAAAAGAATATGAAGCTCTACGAGTTGCGCAATGGTGTGACGCTCAACGGCTCCGCCACAGCCAATTACGTACGTGGGGAGCTTGCTCGCTTCCTCCGTCGAGCCCCTTATCAAGTGAACCTTTTGATTGGGGCTGTGGATGAAACCCCCGAGCAGAAATGTGAGCCCAGTTTACACTGGATTGACTATCTCGGTGCCATGACCAAGGTGAACTTTGGTGCGCACGGCTATGGCGCTCACTTCTGTCTATCGATCTTTGATCGTGAGTGGAAGCCGGAGATGTCACTGGAAGAGGCTAAGGAGGTGCTTAAGAAGTGCCGTGCAGAGCTTGATGTGCGCTTCCTCGTGCGCGATGGTCAATGGGCGTATACGGTAAGGATGAGTGGAGGGTGATAAGGGAGAGATGGAGATAGACTAACTTTTTTGTCGTTTTTCTTTTGCAGTTGATTGACACTAATGGCATTTCGCAGGTGAAGGTCGAGTAGCTGTTAGACACTTGACATGATACAGAAAGAGAGGGAGTACGATCTTAATTGAAGGCCTTTGAGCTTCCTTTTGTTGTATTTTTGTTAGCTCTATTTATTCCTTTAATAGTGGAGATGGACGTTTGTGTTAAATTTATTTAGGTAGTGGTGTAGGTGCAGTAGCTTCTTTTGGTAAAGTCTCACGTACTTCGTGACTTGCATTCTCGCACTTTCCGATGATGGTCACAATTATTGACGTAGCTCCTTATTGTTAAGTAGCAAAAACCAGCTAAACCGACAGCGTTTGACACGTGATCAAGAGCGCATTTACCGTTTCTGCGGGCATGCGCGATCGATGTGTTACCGAAGGTAGCTCGTTGCCATTTTTGTGTCTAGCTCCGTTAATTTTTTTCAAGCGAGCAAGCCTTTACCGATTGAATCAAGTCCTACTCCTCGCCAGAAAGTTATATATTTTTGCCCAAAACTACAAACGGCAACGGAGAAGCAAGTCGTTATCAACTAATAATCTCACTTCGCCATTTACAAACAACAACAACAACAACATCAGAAAGAAGCTACATTACTTCTCTCAGCTCGCAACTCATTTCAAAGTTGGGTATTCTACCTACTAGCTAGACCCCACTAAATTTCTTGTATCATTCATGGCCGATTTCATTGAAAATGAGCACATTGACCCAACGTTGCGCAAACATTGGCGATATTCATGAAGTACGAAGTACTGAATTTTCTTGGTTATGTTCGCACGAAATCAAATAGATAGAATTTCTATTTTTGCTTGATCCTTATGCCACTCCTGAAAGTACCACTGAAAGTACTTGTAGTATCTGTGGCTCTTTTGTTTTTCCACGCTCATTCGATCAAGTCCCAGCCACTTATATACGCGCATTGGAGGGATTAATTTTTTCAACGAGCGATACAATTTCACAGTTACGACAGCGTCCATAAGTTTCAGGTCTCGTAATGGGCTTGACACCTTTGTCTTTAACTCTCCCACCTTCGCTACTTGCTCTATCACTAGTGGATTATGCAGGTTCGGTACCACTTTGGCTTTATTTAACAAGCCGACGACGCCTTCCACAAGACTCGTTCCTCTCTCTTCTTTCTCGCTGACCGACAAATTCTCTTTCAAAGAGTTTCCTTCCCGCAAAAATCGTTTCCTTGAGCCATCCCTCGTACCTGTAGTCATCGACTCGGTACAAGGTGTGGTATCATGTGATGCACGCTTTGAGATCTGGTTTTGTGAGGAATCGGAAGACAAGGTGCCGCAGACAAAGTAGAAGCTAACAATGGCTAGCAGAACATAAAAATAGCGTAGCCGCATTACTGAGCTTTAGTATTTGGGAAGTGAATTTTTTAATGGCAGAGGAGGAGCAAGAAGAGGTGAACTAGCACTATCAATGTTGCTTACCACTCTTTTTAAGCTAACAACCAACAAAGTTCTGTAGGCCTTTTATTTCTATGTCTTAACAGCTGCAAATAGCTAAATTTCAGTGTTTTTTTTTCTTGGCTCTATCGGTCGGATTCCAGTTCCACACATCGAAGTGATCCCACTCCATATCGATACGGACAATTTTCCATTTTAGGTTCACATTTGACCATGTGTTTTGGAATTTCACACTCTTCGATATATGAATGAAGTTTTAACTGTTAGAAGACATCGTTTCTGACAGGTCTTCGAGGTAGACTAGATACGGGTAATGTACGACCTCACCTGATTAGCTGTTAGCATGACATTCTGACAGATGGGACGAGGATATACGGTCGCCATGCAAGAGAAGAAGATAAGACGCGACGCGGGCTCATCACGAGATCGTGGGTAGGCCAGACGGGCGCCATATCATATGGCGCCTCTTCAAAATCATGATTTATAAATCTGATATCTGATTCTTGAACCATATAATTTTTTTCACTAGAGCCTTTTCATCACATAAGTTATTGAGGCAGGAGGAATTGGCCTAGTTTCCGTCCCCGTTGCCACCAAAACACAGTGGGTGAAACACGCGCGACTGGCACTTGCTCGGCTGGCGGATGTGTATCTCACAGCGTGGGTGTCCTGGATTACGCATGGTGTACGTAACACGAGCGTCAGCCCGCATCAACCGAGCGTATAAACCACATCGTATCGCCGTCTTTCGAGCGGTATCCGGATCTAATTCATGAACTCGGCTGCACATTAAAGCCAGATATCGCGCAAACGGAGGTAAGCCTAGCACGAGTACGGGACCATCTACCGGACCTTTGGTCATCATCGACCAGTTGGTGGGAAGAAATGACTGGATACTGCACCTCTCCGAGCCCCTTCCGTGGCGGCCTCAGGGCGATGATATTTGCTAAAGCTGTCCCGATCCAATTATAATAGAATTAGTAATGTCTTCTCGAGCAACTCCACATCCAGCAGACTGGTCCCCAAGAATACGTCTTCAGCGGCATTGGCAAGGACGTCCACGCCCCCTGCCATTCGCTTGCGAAACCTCGAGAATGGACGATCATAGTCTTACTTTCATCACCGCCATTAGACGTAGGAAATTCGGTAGGGTGCCCAATCCCATTGCGGCTACGGCAACAGCCACCACTCACGCAAGCCATCTCATGGGTGCTGGTCGGACCAGGCAAGGTCTGGGACCTTTCTCTCTCAGTTAAATCTGATCACCCTCAGAGTTGGAAGCTCATCCAATGCCACAATGGTATACTTTGGGTTTTCGACGGCGATCCGCTACTGGTCAAGGGGAAATCGCAGGAACTTACTGAACAAGCGGAGAGCAAGCGCAGCCGACATGAGGTTGTCTTTTCTTCCAACCCACAGATCCACCACTATTCATATTCCGCACCGCCTACGGTTCCCAATCATCGACTATTCGCTTTCTTGAAACAGCAAGCTTTCCAGGCGACAAAGCGTTGTCTTGCAGCACCGCTGAAGCAGGTCATCGATCGGCTAGCCACCAAGAGCCAGAATCGAGGTGGCAACGCACAGCTCTGGATGTCACGCCGCCTCAGATATGGGATCACGGCCATGCGGTAACCGATTATCAGCTATGGACACGACATTGCCACATTACCGGGCAGCTACACTTTTGGTACCAAAACCGGCCCCGGACGGATCATGCACAAGCCTGGTATCGGTAGACCAAAAGGAGACCCAGGAGCATCTCTTTCGGGAATGTCCCTGTAACGGGGTTACACGACGGTTGTAACGTCTTTCCGAGAGTTTACGCTTAAACTCTCCTTTGTATTGCATATAATGCATTATTATACTTCTCGTTAGAGAGGTATTAAGTATGAGCGTTAAGATACGGTATTCGGTAATACCGTATCTTACCGATTAGGATTCGATAAATCGATAACGCTCCATTAAGTACATCATACACAGATGTTAAGACGATACGTCGTTCAATAGCAAAGTCTGCATATAATAACTACTATTATAGTAATTAATCTAGTGTAGTGTACTTAAAGTAGGACTATTCATAATATCTTAAGGCATAAATAAAATCAGTTCTCCTTTTGAGTTTAAGACCACAAGTCGTTCTGACTTGTTCTCTTGTGCACTTCGTGCGTTGGTTCTCTGAACCCTAAGCTTCTAGCTTGCTCTTGCACTCTGTGCGTTGGTTCTCTGAACCTTAAGCTTATTGCTTGCTGACTAAGAGTCCCTCCTACTTCCTTAGAAGAGGGTGACCTTAACGTCGAATAACTAGTTCCTTAGAACTAAGTGGCTTTTAGCCTTAACTCTATTTAGTTCTCTCGAACTAAGAGGCTTCCAGCCGAAAGTCTTCCTCTGGCTAAAGAGCTGTGCAGCTCCGCTACACTTGGTAGCACTTGTAGTCAATCCTACACCTGAGTCTTTAAAGACTGACCCTCTGTGAGAATGGAGAATCAAAATCACCTCTCTGAGGCACAACGACTCGCCTTAGATAAACTATCTGCGTTCGTCGGGCCTGATCAAATCGAGGCCCTTTTGGCCCAAGGCCCCGAGGTTCTAAATGCTCGTCTTGAGGCCTTTATGCGTTATGAGGCAACGCTCCTCGGGCAGGTCCATGACCAGGCAGCGTCAGCCGCGCCTATACAGTACATTCCGGTACCTGTGACCGATGCAGAGCCAAAGGCTCGTCCACTTGTTTTAAGTGTCAAGACCTTCGAGGGGAAGGAGGGAGAGAACCTTCTCCTCTGGATCCGAGAAGTTGAAATGGCAATGGATGCCGCCATGCTTGCATCCGATAAGCAACGAGTTGGCTTGGCCATTTCTAAGCTCGGTGGAAGAGCTAGAGAGTGGGCTCTAACGAGCGGTGTCTCTGTAAATGCTGCATTTCCCACATGGGAGATGCTTAAAAAGCAATTAACTTGTGTGTTTGCACCGCCTAATCAGGCTTATCGTGTGCGCTCACGCTTCCTAGCTACCCGACAGGGTAAGAAAGAATTGTCGGACTATGTCCAAGAGTTGAGAACTCTCATTGCTGCTATGCAGCAGGACCCACTGGCAGAGGAAGTCCGAGTAACCATTTTTATGGAGGGACTTCGCACTGGGGTCGCCAGGACGGAAGTTTTCCGTGTCCAGCCTTCAACTTTTGAGGAGGCAGTAAGCGTAGCATTTAACGCTGAATTCAATTTTAAATCTGCTCGATATGGTCTGCCCTGGTATCAATCAAATACCTCTAATAGGGCGGAACCCATGGACCTCAGCCATGCTGAAGAAGCTGAGCTTCAAGCTGCTGAGCAGCAAGGTAGCATCCGTAGATGTTACATGTGCGGAAGCACTAGGCATCTCCGCCCTAGCTGTCCGTTGCGAAAGCAACGTTCAAATCGGCAAAGCCGAAGCCCTGCTCCTAGCCAAAAGGCGAGCACCGCAGGGGAAAATGTCGACTCCCAGTAGGCGCGGGGCGCCCTACTGGGAAAGAACTAAGTTCTGTTGAATCTTTAGGAGGTAAAGGTAAACAGGGCTTAGCCCCAGGTGGTTCTGTGGATGCTCCCATAGAACAAAATTACAAGCCAGGCTTGTTGGTTGTGTCGGCAACCGTTAAGGGTTTTGAGAAACCATGGTCAATTTTAATTGACTCAGGGGCGTCAGGGAATTATGTCCGACGTCGCTCCCTTGAGGGGAGTCAGCTGTATGCTGAGGCGCTAGAAGCGCAAGAGGGTGACAGTATAACCGTGCGTCTCGCGACCGGTGTACGTGTCACCGTTCCTAAAGTTCCGTTGAACTTAGGTGTGAAATTTTTAGATTTCAATAGCGTTGAACGCTGTCTTGTCCTAGATTTGGACTCGAGATATGATCTCATTCTCGGTATGGCCTGGCTGGAACGCCATGAGCCGTGGATCGATTGGAGATCCAAAACTTTAGGCGCAACGCGCAATGTTCCTAGCGAAGCTTTGGAGAGTCATGAACCCACCTTCGCTAAGAAACAAAAGTGCTATTGGCGCGAGCCATTAACTGATTCAGTTAATGTGCTGGACATTGGAGTGTCTGAGTTGATAAACTCCGATGTCAACAATAATAGTGTCGAGCAGAGCTCAATGACACTTAATGGAACGGCACGTACTCCGTTAAGTGATACTCATAGTAATATTGGCTGTAAATGCGATTTACTGGATGTCGGTAATGACATCGGCTCTCGTATAGAGCGAGTGAAGGTCAATGACCTTGTTAGTGAAGTCACTGGTACTAGTGACCCACTGGATGTCGGTAATGACATCGGCTCTCGTATAGAGCAAGTTAAGGTCAATGACCTTGTTAGTGATATTGGCTGTAAATGCGATTCACTGGATGTCTGTAATGACATCGGCTCTCGTATAGAGCAAGTGAAGGTCGATGACCCTGTTAGTGATATTGGCTGGAAATGCGATTCACTGGATGTCGGTAATGACATCGGCTCTCGTATAGAGCGAGTGAAGGTCAATGACCTTGTTAGTGAAGTCACTGGTACTAGTGACCCACTGGGTGTCGGTAATGACATCGGCTCTCGTATAGAGCGAGTGAAGGTCAATGACCTTGTTAGTGAAGTCACTGGTACTAGTGACCCATTGGGTGTCGGTAATGACATCGGCCCTTACATAGGGCAGGTAAACGACAAGGGGTCTGTTGACCTTGGGGACGATAACATCCCAAGTACTGTAAAGAGTACGGTCTCGTCAATGAGACGGCAGCGTCGCCAGATGGCGGCTGCGAGGCGCAAAGCGTCTGTTTTATCGCATAGTAATGTCAATGACCAGTTGTACACCATGGTCAACGGAGTGACAGGTGATGTAGATGGTGAGGTTGACCTTGAGGCCCTCCCATCATTAAATGCTCTTTTAGAGCTAGACGAAATGTCTGTGGATGAATTTCATCAG